TTCTTTTTTTTTAAGCCTTTGGGTCTTTAACACTTGGTTTTTCATATTTAAATAAATGACATTGCCCAAGGAAATTAACTGGGTTATGTGTTACTACTATGTTTTGTGCAATTAAATGGTCTAATATAATTCTATTTTCTCTATCTTCAGGTTGATACTTTAAACTCCATTTCTTAATTTCATGTTCTCCAACTCCATGTCTAGCTAATAACTCTCGTTTCATATTACTTTCTCCTCCATAATCTTTTGCAAACATTTTCATATTTCCCATTAAATAAAATTCTTTCTTAGCTGCCAATGCAGCTGCTTGTCTATTTAAATATGTGTTAATAGCAATTTCTTTTTGTTGTGCAAAATCTTCAACTGAATAGAGCCATATTCCTGGTGATGTAGTTGTACCAAATGAGAGTAAACATCCAAGACTTTTATCTGCTTCTTTCATTGCATATTTTGATTTTGGATTACTATCATCAAAAACAACTACTTTATCTATTGATGAATCTTTTGGCCATGGTTGTCTTAAACATCCCATAAGAACCTCATGTAATGTATAACATATTCCTCCTATTTTATATGCAAATTTCTTAAAATTACTAAGCATATCTTTAAATTCAATATTTGGTCTATGTCTCCAATATAATAATCCATGTAATAACATAATATGATATACATTAATCCAAAATGGTTCATGTTCTCCTGTTTTTAAATTATCTAAATTAATTACTGCTAATTCTGATGCTTGTTGTTCAAATAATTTGACTCCATCTAAATTATCTAACATTATTAATTCAATATGATAATCTAATACTCTTCCATAAAATCCACTTCTTAAATATAATTGAATAATAGAATATAATACTGACCTTGCTACTTCTAATGGGTCTCTACTTGTCTCTTTAACTACATCTAATTCTGGATTTATATTGAAAAATTCTCTTTGTACTGGGAATTGAATTTTATGACTTACTACTCTTTCAAAATTCTTGAAATTTAATGATGTATGATAAATAGGATACCATGTTGGAGCTTTAACTCTCTTTGGATTTTCTACTGCTTCTGTTTCTTTTAATAAACATTCGGCTGCATTTACATTAGGATCACATGCAACACTAACAGGCATTGGTGGAACTTGACTAGGATCTGTAACATCTTCTGGAATATCTGTTCTAATTCCAACTTGACAAACTGGCATTTCTTGTTCTCCTGCTGGTGCAGTAGTAACATCTTCAAAGTATAACACTACTTTAAAATTAGGTGCTAATTGTTTATCATCTTTAAATCCTTTATCTAATTCCATTTTAGAGAATTCAAGTCTATTGTCATGAATAAACCATGTGTTAAACCAAATATTAAATATTCCTCCTTTAGATGTAGTAAATTCTAATTTAATATCTCCATGAATAGTAACTGGATCAATTGGAAATGAACTTCCATCAGTACCAAATCTATCTTCTCCTTCAATACATCTCATTTTCCAATCCCATGCACAAATAGCTTCTCTTGTACTAACAGTTCCTTTTTCTTCTTTTAATTCTCCATATATTTCATCATATAATTTTAATGCATCTTCTTCTTTCATTTTATTTTTTGAATCTTTAGCTGGTTTAAATGTTAATTTTCTATTATTTGTAAGAGACTTTTCACATACAAATTCATTAAATGTTGATACTTTCACAAAAATTTCATCTGCAATTCTTGGTGTTGGTGTCATTTCAATTTTAACCATTTTAACTGTTCGTTCACCAATATTAAATCTATACTTTAATGCTGCACTCCAATAATTAATATATTTAAGTTGTGATGGAATAGTAACACCTTTTTTATTAAATGTTCTTGTTGTTCCATAAAAATCAATTGCCTCATGTGCATTTAATGAATCAAGCATATAAACCAAAAAACATGCACTCATTAATCCTGTTCTTCCTTTTCCTGCTTTACAATGAAGTGCAATAACATTTCTTTCATCTGCTTTTAAATAATCATCTACATCTTTACAAAGTTGTGGAATAATTTGATATTCTGGTGCATTATGATCATCAAATGGAAAATATTCATATTCTCCTTTAATTTTATGTTCTCCATCATATGGTTTTTCTCTACAGAAATTATATACTTTATAATGTCCTTTATGGAATGTTTCAAAAAATTGTAATACATCAACTAATGGATTTCTATATGCAGCTTCAAATTTCTCACTTGGAAATCCCATAGCAATAATTCGTGGTGTAATATATGAAAGATCTAAATCAAATCCATATTGTTGGTATCTTCTTTT